GCATATGTGAAAAAAAAAAATTATAGCTAATATCTAAATTTGGATAAATATTTAGTTCAATAAATGAAGAGTCTAATGGTTTAGTATTAACATGTTCAATATATATAAATAGATATTGTGTAAATCGATGTATAGAAGTAAATTTAATAGAATTACTACCTGCTATATTAATAAGATGTTTACACAACATAAATCAGCTAATTAAATAGACTAGACAACTACATAACCATTTTTAAATATCTGTATAATATTGAGTTGAATTCATTGTTGTTTTTTTTGCTAAAAATTGCCAGGTTTTTTTAAAGTCTTTTTTCTATGCAGGCTTAATGCAACCAGAAAGAGTAAGACTATATTTGTTAATTAATTGTGGTATAAATCAACTAGTAATAATATGAACAAGTAGATCTAAATGAGGCTTATTAAACTTATATAAAAAATCATGTTTAAATAATTTCTAATGAGCTTTAACAATCATAGTTGTACATGCTAAGGGTATATTATTACTAGTAAATCATGCCCAAAGACACCAACAATCAGCTTAATACTATTCTTTTCAAAGATATGCCCATAAATGTGGTAGGTTGTTGTTAGTATAAAATATATACATAGCTATTACAGCATTTTTATAAATCATAAATGAAGATAAAAATGTTCCTGAAGCATTAACAGGAATATGTGGATAATAATTAAGATGTTCTACCATTAAAGAAAATACTTGACTATGCAATACTAATGGACAAAAATATTGTATAGATGCTGATAGCAGATCAATGAAGTTAAAGATCTTGTGTATATCTTCTGAGTTATATATTATTTTTGTAGAACATTCTTTTTTTCATAGCAAACATAAGACTGCATGACATAGATGTCATAAACATAGTTGAACCTTTATACAAGGCCAAATTGTTTTAATAGCATTGATTTGTATGAAATCTTTATCAGTAAAAAAAAAGGTAGGATTAACATTATATTTTTGCAATGCATTTAAATAGTTAGTGAGTGCTATAGTATGCTTGTTTTGTATAGATATTAAAGAATTTAGAATTAAATATGATAGTAGATAACCAACACCTTCTATGCTTGCCATAACTACATAAAGCTCAAATCTTGTACTATTTGTTTTATATGTAGCATCTATAGCTTCTTTCTCATATTTAGTATAAATAAATGTAAAAATGGAGTAATAAATGCAATTTCAAAAAGTCCATCTCCTTGATTACTATATAATAATAAATAATTTTCATTTTCTTGTAAAAGGTAAGTTGCTGAAATAAATTGATTATCATCATGAAGATAGAGCTTTTAATAAAATATAGTCCACCAAAAATAAACCTGTTTTGTGTTAATATATTTGATTTATATTGGAGTTGCTCCCAAAGCTGTCTTGAATTAAGATGTACATTATTTTTAATAAATTCTTTTACTTTATTATCAACATTTTCTTTTATTTTTAGATGTAAATGAAGCTTATAATGATGTAAATAAATATGTGCAATCATTGTTTCTAAATTTATAATAATTCACACCAAGCCTTGACATGTAAATTGCTCTTGTTTATTGTATATGTATTGAAGATTTGGTTCTAAATAATCTCTTTGAGAAGAAAGAGAACATGTGTACTATTGTGTTTGTTTATTATCAACATTATTATAATGATGCATATAATTCTATTTATAACTATCAGCAATTTGAATAATATTAATAATTTCCTGAAGAATAAAGTCTGTTATTATATTACTAAATTTTTCACTTTGTAAAATTATATGAAGATTTATTTCAATTCCATCTTCATTATTTTCACATGCTTCAAGCTTAGTTGAAATAAACTCTTCCAAACTATCTAATTCAATTGTATTATTTAGAAAGAAATTATTTTCATTATTTTGATAATACTCATTTTTATTGTGTTGATCTTTTGCTGAAGTTAAATCAAGTTTTTGATGACAAACTTTATATGTTTTAAAATAATCAGTTTTATAAAAACTGAATTCTTAATATTTCTACAACATAAACAAGATTTAGGTTTTGCTAATGACATTATAATAAATATTAATAAAAGTAAAATAGTCTTTAAATAGTTTTTTGCAAGTTTAGTATATTTGATAACAATAATTTAAAATATATAATTAAATCAATACCTAAAGTAATATTTATTTAAAATTAGCAACTAATACAATTTAATTTCAGATGCTAATTTTTAGACAAGTACAACTTCAGATGGTTATTAACTTTAGATACTCTAAAATTGATAATTTAATATTAATGCAAAATCTAACTACTATACAGGTTTTTTTAATAAGTTTTAAAGTGAAACAAATTTAAAAAATTGTTAGTAATCTTTGAAAAAAATAAGTAATAAATTTCTTGTAACAGATTTTAATTAAAAAAAAACTAGAAAAATTCTATTTATTCACCAAATTGTTTTAAGTATTGTCATGGCAAAGGACTATAATCAAATATAGTATAATTGATAATTGTGTGATTGATGTATATAATCATGATCGAACTAAAAAAATTAAATAAAACATACATAATCACATCTAATAAAGATATTCAAAAGACAAATATATATATTTGGCAATTTCAAAATTAATAAATAAGTAACACATTTTGAAAATAAGAGAATTTTTTGAATAGTATTTTTACTATATTTAAACATAAATCAGAAAAGAAAAATTTGTTAGTTAAGCGAACACAGCTAACTTGAAATAATAAGTAATCTAAAAGTATAAAAGACCCACCAATTTTTTGCTTTAAAAGAGATGAAAAAAGATAACTCAGTTGAGTTCTTAATTTTGAAGTCTTTGTAGTAGAAGTTGGTTCTCCAATGGTTAATTTCCTTTGATCTAAAAATATATCTATCATAAGTCATTCATAATAAAAGTATTTCGAATTGTCTTGTTTCTGTAATACCTTGAAATCACTATTTTAGTATCATAAAAATAAAAAAGAGAAACTATTGAGTTAGTAATCAGACCCTTTATATAGAATAAATTAAACTCTAATCAAATATTATTACAAATACCATTGTTATCATTACATCGATCAATTGAAATTATCAAAGTCTTGTGATACGTGATCCTGAAATAGAGAACAAACTAAAAAAGAAAGTAAATGAGAAATTGTTAGTGCTCAGAATTAATCAAAAAATATCAACAAACTACTCAAAAAAATAAAAGAAAATTCATTTTAACCTCAAGTATTGCCTCTATGAGACTCAAGACTCTAAAAAACCCAGGGGTATAAAAGGGAGGAGAGAGTAATATTAACTGAAAAAAAAACTTCAAACGGCCTTAGTTCAAAAGACAAAATAGAGCAGTAATTAAATATTAGTACTAGATATGATTTCAAATAATAATAATAATACAAATAATACTTGCATATATATATATATGAAACTCTGTTTCAGTATCTTTTATAAAAGATAACTTTAAATCTTATAATAATGATATATGTATTGCTTTAATAAAAAAAATTTTTTAACAGCACACTACTTGAATTTTGAAATTAAAAGTATCTTAAAAACTAAATATGATAGTATATATTAGAATGTATTAAATATTTAAAATTTTAAATCGAATTTAATGTTTATCAAAATAGAAGTGCTGAAACTTTCTCCAAGCTTTGAGTGAAGATATCTAGATAATTACTAGCTAAATTTGATTAAATTATTTTATTTGAATTCTACAAATTTGTAGAAACCAAATAAAAAAAATTTTATTGAATTTGGCCTAGTAGTTATTGAGATATCTTTGTACAAAGTTTGAATAAAGTTTTGCATAGCTTCTACTTTGATAAACATTTTGAGTTTTTTAAAAATTTAAGTGAAGGTATCTCAATACCCACAGGCAAAATTTTTATTTGAGTTCTATAAATCTGTAAAATTCAACCAGAAAAAAGTTTTTCAGATTTGGTCTAGTAATTATTAAGTTATCTTTGCTCAAATTTTTAAAAAAATTCAAAACAAAAGCTGCGCTAAAACTTTTCTTAAACTTTGAGCAAAGATATCTCAATAAACACAATGTCAAATTTGATAAAAATTATTTTATTTGAATTTTACAAATTTGTAGAATTCAAATAAAAAAAAGTTTATCGAATTTGACCTGGTAATTATTAAGATACCTTCACTTAAATTTTTAAAAAAATCCAAAATGCCTATCAAAATAGCTGCTGTACCAAAACTTTTCTCAAACTTTGAGCGAAGATATCTTGATAAAGACAAAGTCAAATTTGATAAAAATTATTTTATTTGAATTTTACAAATTTGTAGAATTCAAATAAAAAAAATAATATTCAGATTTGTCCTAGTGGCTATAAAGGAACCTTTACACAAAGTTTAAAAAAATTCTAATTTATACTACATCAGGTGAAATAATCAATATCGAGAACATTTTCTGATTGGTGCATCTTTGTAGATCCCGCTGAGGTAGTCTTGACTATTAAGTATTGTTAAAATAACAGGACTAATAATTTTAGAATGATTTTCTTAAATATCCTCTAAACAAATTTTAAGTTACACAATTGAGAAGATATATTTATATAGTAGGGTACCATGGTATTATAGACACTTTTTAAAAACTTGTACAAAGCTAAATATATAAGATATTAAGCTAAAAATTAAATTATAAA